ATCTATCTATCTATCTATCTATCTATCTATCTATCTATCTATCTATCTATCATCTATCTATCTATCTATCTATCTATCTATCTATCTATCTATCTATCTATCATCTATCTATCTATCTATCTATCTATCTATCTATCTACCTATCCACCCATGCAACTATCCATGCAACTATCCATGCATCCATCCATGCATCCATGCAACCATCCATGCATCTATTTATCATCTATCTATCTATCTATCTATCTATCTATCTATCTATCATCTATCCATCCATCCATCCATCCATCCGTGCAACCATCCATCCATACAACCATCCATAATTATATATTATATATATTATATATAAGGCATTATATATATGTAATCCTCAACTTACAACAATTGAGCCCCAAATTTATGTTGCTAAGTGAGAAACGGGTTAAGCGAGTTTTCCCCATGTTACGACTTTTCTTCCCAATGTTGTTAAGTGAATCCGGCTTCCCCGTGGAGTCGGGAGGTGGCAACGAAGGGGAATCACATGTCCCCCAGAGACACTGCCACAGTCATTAAGTATGAACCAGTGTGCCAAGCATCTGAATTTTGATCATGTGACCGCGGGGATGCTGGAAAGGTCGTACCAGTTGAAAAATGGTCCCAGATTGTTTGGGAGTGGGGGAGAGAGATTAGGCTGACTCTGTAAACCACTTAGAGAAAGCTGGAAAGCTGGAAAGCCACTGAGAAGCAGAATATAAGTCTAAGCAGTATTACTTTTTGGATGGACGGATGGACAGACAGATAGATACAGGCTCAAGGTTGACTCAGCCTTCCCTCCTTCCAAGGTGGGTAAAATGAGGACCCAGATTGTTGGGAGCAAGAGGCTGACTCTGTAAACTGCTTAGAGGGGGCTGGAAAGGACCGTGAAGTGGTATATAAGTCTAATGGCTATTGCTCTCTCTCTCTCTCTCTCTCTCTCTCTCTCCCTCCCTCCCTCCCTACCTATCATCCATCCATCTATCTTTTAGCTATTAATCTTCTATCTATCCATCCATCTATCTAACAATCTATCTCTCTTCTATCTTCCATCTACTTATCATCCATTTTCTATCACCCATCCATCCATCCATCCATTCATCTTCCATCTACCTATCACCCGTCCGTCTATCCATCTATCCATCCATCCATCTATCTTCCATCTATCACCCATCCATCTATCCATCCATCCATCTATCTATCTATCTCAAGGTTGCCTTGGTCTTCCGTCCTTCTGAGGTGGGTAAAATGAGGACCCAGATTGTTGGGGGCAAGAGGCTGACTCTGTAAACTGCTTAGAGAGGGCTGAAAAGCACTATAAAGCGGTACATAAGTCTAAGGGCTATTGCTATGCCTTGGTCATTCTCCCTTCAGCTTTGCATTATTCTCCCTTCAAGGGCCACCTGTTGATTTTCCTTGTTTTTCTACCCAAAACTAGGATCCAAGAACAATTTATTTGCTTACACATTGAAAGGCTCAACCTGGCATATCATAGTCATCTCTCAGTAGATCGCTTTTCGTGCTACAAATGCTTTTCGTGCTACAAATAGCTTTTCGTGCAAAAAAGCTTTTTCGTCACGCACGCTACGTGATTTTGGGAGAGATTTTTTTACAGCCCTATAATTGGGCTCAAAAACCATAGTTGACAGCTTAGAGTACTGTGCAAATGAATTCCCATGTTTATTCAATAAGCTTTCATTAAATAAAACCAAACCCAACCCCCCAAAATCAGCCAAATGTGGCTTATTCAATAAACACTGTTTACATATGCCACTAGAGAGCTTAACATTTGAATGAAGCTGGGAGACGTTTTGTATGATGGTTATTTTTATTTATGCCTTTCTGCTTAAATGAACAGGCAAAAGTTACAAACTATTTATGACCTTGTATCTTGGGCGAAACCATTAACTGTGATCTAGAAAGCCACGATACAATTAACTATGATAGAGTTGGTGTGTTAACCTTCCATTGAAAGCAGGAGATATTTATAACCAGGTTTCTAAGCCATGGTTTATAGCCTGGCATGTTGAGCAACCCCTGCCGTTCAGAATGCGCTCAGTAAACCATGATTAAGCAAGCATGGCTTAATGTAATGTCCAAACCCAGATTGTCCTTTTAAAATCTCCTAGAGAGAAAAGAGATGCCATGCTTTTAATTCAAGAACCTTGAAACAGCCTATTTCCAATTTTCACATCTTCCTCTGATCAAGAATATTTTGGAAGAAAACGAGAAACTTTTAAGAACTGACCTCCAGAATCCAATCAAAGGTGCCGAACCACAGGGAAGCTTGCAAATTAGCTTCCTTGGGCCATGCCGCAGTCACCATTAACCGATGATCACAGTTACATTTCCCTGCTCAGGTGGCTCTTGTCAAACAGCTTCATTTAATGTATTCAGAGTCTATTTTATCTTTTCTTTATGTACACTGAGAGCTTATGCACCAAAGACAAATTCCTTGTGTGTCCAATCACACTTGGCCAAGAAAGAATTCTATTCTATTCTATTCTATTCTATTCTATTCTATTCTATTCTATTTCCTTCCCCTTCCTTCCTTCCCTTCCTTCCTTCCTTCCTTCCTTCCCTTCCCTTCCCTTTCCCTTCCTTCCTTCCTTCCTTCCTTCCTTCCTTCCTTCCTTCCTTCCTTTATTCTCTTCTCTTCTTCTCTTCTCTTCTCCTATTCTATTCTCTCTTCCCTTCCCTTTCTTTTTTCTTCCCTTCCCTTTTCTTCTGTTCTCCTATTCTCTTCTCCTCTCTTCTCCTCTCCTCTATTCTATTCTATCCTATTCTATCTATTATTATTCTACCATTCTATTCTATTATTATTCTACCCCTATAAGCCTGATTTATGTACATATACTCTCAGTGTACTTATGTATACTGAGAGCATTTGCACCAAAGACAAATTCCTTGTGTGTCCAATCCCACTTGGCCAATAAAGAATTCCATTCCATTCCATTCCATTCCATTCCATTCCATTCCATTCTATGAAGGAACTGCATCATTTTTTACATCCGATTTCCTCCCTTGGTCAGAAGCCACGGCCAAAATATATATATATATATCGATCAACTCAAGATGCTCACCATCGAAGGAGAGACCCTTCACCTCGCTGCTTGCACAGATCACCCAAAGGTTTGGTGGAGACTTTTTAAGACTTTAACTCTCCCCGCCCCAACCGTCTCCCAACCCCCCCCTCCCACAAAAAAAAATCCGCCCCTGTAAAACTGAGCAGAAAGCAGCTTTTTTGGTGCAAAGGTACCACCTTCAGATTCCTGATTGGTAGCCCTGGCTTTCCTCCCCCCAGCCCAGAAAGCAGCACCCTCTGAGTAGGAGGCTACGAAAGGCAGGGAAGAAGCTCCCGTTTAATTGCTGGCCTATTTCAGGTTCTTCTGACTCATAACAAGGGGACATCACCGGTGCCAGGAGAGAAACCAAATTTAGGTTCATTTTTTTTTAAAAAAGGAAAAAGAAACCTCATCC